AAACCTTATGGACGTACCTTTTAATCAGTTCTCCACATTTTACTTTTTGTTTACACTTTCAGTCTTCCTTCTGTCTTCTTGGATTGATTAGGCTTGGGTTTAATGGATAATATAGCTGGTCATCAGGAAGTGACTGGATCATGACTAAGTAAGACATTCAGGTGAACCAAAATTGAATTGTTAATCTGAATGCCAATTTTGGTTTCAGTATTTGCTTTAGATCTAAGCTTGACAATGATAATATGTTCATAATAACAATGGTATCTTTTACAGTTCTTGAAAGTGATGCACAAACAGTTGAGTCGGGACCGCTTGCTACTGAAGATAAGCCACTTTCATGCAATACAGACTCTGAGAAGCAACGAGGTATTTCTTTTCATCACATCCTCAAATTAAATTTGCTTGATTTTTCACATCTTTTTTCTAATGAAATTGCATGTAATAAATTAATAAAAGGACATTATAGTGGTGTAAAATTCTAAATTGTTGAAACTCTTTTTCGTTTGGGGGATTCTCTTTAGAAGTAAATGAGACTCAATGTATCACAACGGTAGCTCAGAATTCAGTTCTACTTCATCCTCAAGAAGAAGCAGCCAGAATTAGAATGTCAGCAAGGCAGAAACAGGTAATTTGACATTTTAATTTTAAAGGTTCCTTCTTCCCTTAGATACTGTAATTTTGTTTGACCAATGAAATTTGTCCTAATGTGTGACTGCTTTTGATACCACCTCTTCTACTATGTCTTACACAAGCATTTAACTGATAGAAAGCACTTCACTCTTTGCTTACTGCATTCTGCTTTTTTATACTTGTATTTTATGCTTTTGTGTGTATCCTAACTAGTTGCCGTCGAGTCAGTTCTGATTCATGGCAGCACTATCTGTGTCAGTAGAACTGTGCTCCAAAGGATTTTTCATGGCTGAATTTTTAGAAGTAGATTGCCAGGCATTTCTTCTGAGACACCTCTGGGTGGGCTCAAACCTCTTAACTGTTTAGTTAGCAGCTGAGTGTGTTAACCATTTGCACCACCCAGGAGTATCTTCCCTATAAAATGTGTAAGTTTTTTTAAAGAAAGAGGCTGCCCTTTTTTTAGTTCAGTTTAGTTTCTGGTACAATGCTTTATACACAGTTAGTCAGTGTTCAATAAAAATTTGTTGAATAAATGAGTACCTGTTTTAATATTAGACAGCTAGACCTTATAATCCTAAAAGTTTTTTAAAAACTAGTATTTCAGAAGACAAATTAAAAATTAAACCTCCTTAACTATAATTTTGGTCTCTTTAACACTGTAATGAAATATGTGTAATGAAACATTTGCCATTTTAACCATTTTTAAATGTATAATTCAGTAACATTGAAGACGTTCCCCCTGTTGTGCAGCAGTCACAACTATCAGTTTCCAACTTTTTCATCATCCTTAATAGAAACTCAGTAGTCTCATCTACTTAAACAATTCCTAATTATTACTAAGTCACAGGCTGATTGTTACTAAGCCAGTCAGTTTATAGTCATGGTTTTTACAAAATATACTTGGGCAGTGAAAAATCTATTGGTCAGTAAGTATTTCTTCTCAGATAAATGTTTTCTAATTGGTATTCTAGAGTAATGTTGTCCAATAGAACTTTCTATGATGATGAAAATGCCCAAATATATGTCCAGTATGGTAGCCACCAGCCACGTGGGCTCATTGACTACTTGGAATGTTGCTATTGTGACTGAGGAATTGAATTTTAAACTTTATTTAATTTGAATTGATTTAAATTTAAATAGTCACATGTTGATATTACAGTTCTAGAGATACTACAGAACTGTAAACATCCAAATTCAGTGGATCCTATAAGTGTTGGAAAGTAAGGAAGCTTTAAACAGGAACTCAGCTGTTGTTGCTGTTTCCTGGTTAGAGATAGGGATGTTAAAAGTATCATGTTGAGGCATTTTTGTATTTTGAAAGCAAGATTGTTTTTCAAATATCTCTTGTAGAAGTGTTTTTCTTTATAAAACTACATACATTTCTTTTTCTATTCCTTCAGTAAACATTTATTAAGTCCTTGCTTGCATCAGGTACTGTACTAGGTGCTGAATTTAGCAGGCAGCTAGACAGACACAGTCCCTGTGTTCATGAAACTTAGAGTTACTCTGATATGTGTTCATAGTACTTTGATCCTTTGTGTGTGTGTGTGTGTGTGTGTGTGTGTGTGTGCGTGTGCGTGCATGCATGATATTAGACCGTCATTCTTCTGCCATTTGCCATTTTCTTCCCATCTGTTCTATGCATGACAGAAAAGACACAGAATGTTGCTCATTGTGTTATTACTTAGCCTCTAGGTAACTGCGTCCCTTTATGAGTGTGCCTAAGAAATCAGTGTTTTGGAAGGCCTTGATACTTAATTTCCGTAGTCATTATTTATATTGGGAACAAAGTAAAATTAAAGGTGTGGACAAGAATATAGCTGAGCATCATTTGCTACATATTTAGAGGTGTTTCTTTGGTGGTGATCTGGGTTTCCCTGAGCTCTCAGAAAATAGAAATAGTTAATATGTTTATTTTTTCTTCCTCTTCTGCCTTTTGTTTTTTTTTTTTCCCTCCTTCCCCCTCTTCCCATCTCTCCCTTCCTCTCTGGCAGTGGCAACAGCAGAGAAAAAAAATCACCACTTGGATAATTGTACTCTTGGTGATAAAAACTATTTCTGTTTGATGTAATGCATGTAAACTTGTATGTGTGTGAGTTTGTTAATAGGTCGGTAGTATTTTTGTTACTTAGATAATGGAAATAGAAGAGCAGAAGCAAAAGCAGTTGGAATTACTTGAACAAATTGAACAACAGAAGTTAAGATTAGAAACTGACTGCTTCAAGACTCAGCTGGAAGAAGAAAAGAGAAAAAGCATTCAACAGACTGAGGTAGGATGCAGGAAATCTCACTTCTCAGAGATTGTGGGGAGACAAAAAATGTGAGCAGTCTTAGCATTCGGGAAAGTAAAATGTCTAATTCTCACTTGGTCATTTTTTTTCTTTTAATAATGTCTGTGTAAGTGTGCACCAACCTAATGACTTTCATCTTTCAGTTTCTCTGGGGTATCAATATATATGACCATGATTTTGTATGTAATGCGTATGTTGAGCTCTTAGACTTGGCACTAATGGAGAATAATGGATTGCTTCCTTTCTTAATAATGGGAAGTACCAGTCTCTTTATGAAAAACAAAGTTATATGGAAGTTTACAATTTTAGAACTTCAGTTTATCTAAGATACTTTAGTACCTGTTTCTGAATTTGCCTTTTAATTAGTTGTGTTGTCTTTTATTAGGTGGGCATTGCTCCAACATCGGGCACCGTGATTTCTGATGAAGACAGTCATAGGCAAATGATTCATAACTATCAACGTCAGCTTTTAGAACAAAACAGGTATTAGAGAGGGTACAATTTATATTTGATTGTATGTGGCTACATCTTCAGGATTTAATATTTAATTTCTATGAGGATCTACTTGGGGTTCCCTTAGAACTATGGCTTATGGATTTCTCATGGCAGTATGAGAGTCGTTCCTTTGATTGTGATTATGACCATGATTATGGCCAACCCTAGATTGCTATTTCTTATATTTAATGTATAGACACTTGAGAATAAGGTGCTTGTGTTTTGTGTTGTTTTTTGTCATAAAAGAACAATGTTTGTTTGTTTGTTTTTGGTAGGTTACACAGACAGTCTGTTGAAGCTGCCAGGAAACAATTACATGAGTATCAGACTCTGTTAAAAGAAAGGTACCCATCCATGTCAGCTACGTCATTGATACCTGACTCTGTTATATCAGTACTACCTCAGAAATCTGAAAGGCCCACTCTTATATCAGAGCATTGGGATCAAGGTCAGAGACCCAAGTTGAGTCCTAACAAATATCAACCCATACAGATCTCCAGATTAGAAGAAGGTCATTTTCGGGTACCAAGACAGAATCTCTTTTCACAGAGACAGGTAGAAACAACAGAAGCATTAAGCACTTCAAATATTTTAGCCAAGCAATCTTTGGAATCACAGGAACATCTAAGGTTATTCTCACAGGCTGAAACACAACAGAGAGATTATAAATTGGTCCCTGAAGATTCTCATAGACTTTCAAGGGCTTTGTCACATGATAGGCCACTAATATTTCAGGATACTAAAGAAATACCTCATACATCTAGGGCAACAACTTTTCAAACTTTAGACTCCCAGCAGATGTTCTCAGAAAACAGTCAGAATATATCTTCTAAGCTGACTGAACCCTCTTCATTTCTACCACTGGTGGCTGAGCATTCTTTTAGTTCTCTGCCTGCTAAAGATGAATCTGGAAGAATCCAGCAACCCTTTTCAACCGAGAGCAAAAGTACATTTTCCTTAGATCATTCTGTAATCAGTCAAATGCAGGATAGGCCTTTGCCATCCTCAGAGCGTATCACAGCCCAGCAAGGTAATTTGAAGGTTCTCCAAGAACAGTTGGACCTACAAAAGGAAGTTCTTCGAGCGAGACAGGAATCTCAGGAACAACTCCTTTTGCATAAACAGAAAGCATTGGAAGAGCAAACTGGCCTCTCTTTATTTCTTCCTTTGGTAGCTTCACGTTCATTTGCTTCACTCCCTTTTGCCAAAACTGAATTGGGGGAAATCCAGCAGTCTTCTTTAACCAAGAATGACCCTGCAGTTTACACAGGCCATCCTGTAACCCCACAAATTCAAGACAGGCTTTTGGGTTTTTCACAGTCTAACTTATCTCAGCAAGATAACTTAAAATTTCTCCATGAACAGTTAAATGTTCAGAGGGACAGACTTCAGGCTAGGCGGGAAGCCCAGGAAGTGTTATGTGTACATAAACAGAATGAATTTGATGGAAGTGTATCTTCTGAGAAGGCTGAATCCTCTACTCTCCCATCTCAGGTAGCTCAGCACACATTTACTTCACTATCTTCTGCTGAAACAAAATCTGGAAAAATCCAGCAGCCGTATTCATCCAGGAGTGAGAAACGAGTTGTCTCAAGCCGATCTGAGATCCCAACATCTCAAGATAGGTCTTCGAGTTTCCTACAGCAGTTCCTACCTCTGCATGATAGTTTAAAATTGCTCCAACAGCAGCTGAGTACACAGAGGGCTACTCTTCAGGCTAGGCATGAAGCCCAGGCAGCATTACTTTTACAGAGACAAAGGGATTTGGAGGTCAGTAAATCTGGGCAGGTGAGTTCTTCATTCTCAGCAATGGTTGCTCAAGATTCAGTTGCTTCACAAGCTTCTGCTAAAGCTGAGCCTAGCAGAATTCAGAAACTTTATTTATCTGAGGAGAGTCTAATTCCTTCAAATCATTTGGTAATCCCAGCATTTCAAGATAAGTCTCTTAGTTTTCCACCACATAGCCTATCACAGCAAGAAAATTTGACAACACTCCAAGAACAATCACACATACAGAGGGTAACACAAGGTACTAAACAAGAAACTCAGGAATTTGTGCATAAACACAGTGAATTGGATAAAAGGTTTTCTTCTGAACAGACTGGCCCCTTTTCATCCCTATTCCAGGTAGCAGAATCAGAAAGATCCCAGGAATTTATGTCACTCAACAGTGATAGTACAGTTCCCTTAAGCCATTCTCTGATCCCAAAATTTCAGGAAAGACTTTTGAGACTTTCACAACATGTATTACCTGTAAAAGATAATTTGGAAGAACGTCAAGAACAGCTAGACACAGAGAAAGAGGCTCTTCATTTTACCCAGGAAAATATATCTTCTGAACAAACTGGCTCCTCTTCATTCATACCCCAGTTAGGGCAGCTTTCATATACTTCATTACCTTCTGCTGTATCTAGTACAGTCCAGGAGCCTGTGTCAGTAGAGAATGACAGTAAAATTTCTTCAACCCATTTTCAGATACCACAGTTGCAGGAAAGGCTTTTGAGGCTATCACAACTTATCCAGCCTCAACAAGATAATTTGAAATCTCTTCAAGAACAGTTGGCTACCCAGAGGGAATCTATCATTCGATCTAGACAGGAAACTCAGGAAGAATTACATTTATATAAACAAAGTGGGTGGAAGGAAAGAGTATCTCCTGAGCAGGTTGGTACCTTATCCTTCTTACCCCTAGTATCCCAGCATTCATTTGCTTCAACATCCCTTACTGAATTGGAGAGAATCCAAGAATCTTGTCCAACTAAGAGTGATAATACAGTCTCCTCAAGTCATTCTGAGATACCAAGATTGCCTGATAGGCTTTTGGATTTGTCAAAGCCTATATTACCTCAACAAGATAATTTGATTGCACTTCAAGAACACTTACATACACAGACAAATGTCCTTCCTACTAGCAAGAAAACTCAGAAAGAATTGGTTTTGCCTGGACAATGTAAATTTGGGGAAAAGGTATCTTGTGAGCAATTTATCCAGCCTCTCTATGGTGATTTGAAGGGACTTCAAGAACGGTTAGATGTACAAAGGAGAACCATTCAGTCTACACAGGAAGTCCAAGAAGAATTGCTTTTACCAAGACTAAGTAAGTTGGAGAAAAGGGTATCATCTGAGCAGGTTAATAGTTCTTCATTCTTATCCCAGGAAGTACTGCCTGTTACTGACTCTGGAAGAACCCAAGAGCCTTTCCCAACCAGAAGTAACAACAGTATTCCCTCAAATCTTCCTGAGATTCCAGGAACACATGATAGGCTTTTGAGTTTATCCCAGTCTGTTCTGCCTCAACAAGATAATTTGGACTTGCAAGAACTATTGGACTTACAAAGGAAAGCAGTGTGTTCTAGTGAGAAAACCCAGGAAAAACTGCTTTTAAACAAACAAAGCAAGTTGAGCAGAAGTGAATCTTCTGAGCACACTGTCTTCTCTGTGTCTGTACCCAAGGAGTCAAAGCATTCTTTTATTCCACTACCTTTTGCTGAAACTAAACCTAGAAGAATTTGTGAATGTTACTCATCCAACAGTGAACATAAAGTTCCCTCAAGTGATTTTATGATCCCCAAATTACAAGATATTTTGAGTTTTTCACAGCCTGTCTTGGCTTATCAGGATAACTCAGGACTTCAGAAGCAGTTGGATCTACAAAAAGAAGCTCTACGTTATAGCCAGAAAGCCCAAGAAGAATTGCTTGTCCAGAGACAAGCAGCATTGCAACAGCAGATACAGAAACATCAAGAGACTTTGAAGGATTTCTTTGAAGACAGTCAGGTATGTTTTGAAGTTGAATAAGAATTAAACAGTAGGGGTAACCTGACTCAGATGAGCTAAATATTAGTTTTAATACTAGGTCTACAACAAGTTTTTGATTTTTGTTTTTTAAATTTATTGTAAATATTTATAACCCAAAATTTGTCATTTTAACCATTTTTAAGTGTATAATTCAGTGACATTAATTACGTTCACAATATTCCCCAACCGTCTCTACTATTTCCAAAACTTTTTCATTACCCCAAACAGGTACAGTGGAGGCTAAGTTTTTAGGTCCACAATTGTGAGTGGTCGTACTTTTTAATGGAACTATCACCCTTTGAATATTGGAAGCGCATCTCTTTTTTTTTTTAATCTGTGGATAAAGTTGCAATAGTGTGGTTGGTGGAACTATTTATTTGGTTGAGGTTCTAATTTAAGAAAAGGTGATATAAATCTAATGAAGAATTCTTGAAATGATCCCTCATGCCGTGTCATTCCCTCACCACCCTGAATTTTTCAGGCAAGTAAGCCTACATTTGAAAATGATTTAAAAACCCAGAAGATGGAACAGCTCAGAGAGTGGTTTCCTTACATCCAAGACCTAGTAACAGATGATCAGGAAGACATTAATCATGTAGATAGGAACAACTCTGATGACAATCAATTGCTTTCACAAGATCTTACTACCAAGCAAAGGGGTAAGGCTATTTGTCACATTTTATTGTAATTATTCTGCTGATTTTTCATTGCTATCACTCCTGCATCTTACAGACTGAAGAAGAGTTTGTAGTATATTAATAGATTTTTATTGTGCCTGACATTGTCCTTGACTTGATAGGTGAACATCTGGACAAAGAACTGAGTAGGAGGTTCTCAAAGCCACCTCTAGCGAAAGTTAAATGTGGATTAGACTTGAACCAACATGAACTTAGTGCCATACAAGAAGTAGAATCACCAGGAAGTGGCAGAGCTTCTATACTAGGTAAATAGATTGGTTGATAAAATTAGATTGTATAATAGTTTGCCAGTTTTCTACATTTTTTCAGGGTGCTAATTTTTTTTGTTAAAGAAACTTAGACTGTGAGTACTCACAAAAGGAAAAAAAAATGGTTTACGTAAGCAGTGTTTAAAATCTAGACTTAAAGAAATGTAGCATTAGGTAACTACTTTCTTTATCTTCCAAGTGGAGTACAGTTTACTGTGGGCAGAAAAGATCTAAAAAGGCTCCTTAGGAGGTGATAACAAATACAAGTTCAAGAAACACTGATTTATATTGATCTTCCGGTTTTCTTATCATTTCTCCCCTGTTGTTCATTTCTGGAGAATTTCTTCAACTTTTTCTTTTCACCTTTCTTGTAAATTTTTATTTTGACAATTAAATTGTAGTTTCTAAAATCTTGCTCTCTTTTCTCTGATATTTTTCCTTTTTCATAACATCCTGCTATTGTTTCATGGAAGCAAAGTATTATCTTCTTTGAATATTTATGGTTTTCTTTTGTTTTTAAGTTTTCTTTGGTTCCCTTCATTTTCTGTTTGTCTGAGGTATTTGTTGTTGTCTCTTACATTTAGGAGGCTTTCTGCTATTTCCTTGCATATTTGAGTGGAACACAAAAAGGCTAATTGGGAATTCTGTGTGTGACTAGGCCTTAGTTACTGTTGGACTTCATTGGAAAAGATGGCTTTTCATTGGAGACTTTTGATTTAGTATCTGTAGCTCTTTTCCCTGTAGCAGTTTACAGTTCAGTTTGTTCAAAGAATGATCCTCCAAGCTTCATATAAGCTTGGCTGTTGATATTGTGGAGGCAGACCTGAGGGATATGGGGATCTCACCATTAAGGATACAGACTTTCTTTTAATACCCTTGATTTCCTTGTGGCATTCTACCACCCCCTTCCACCCTTACCTTCTTTCTCTGCCTGATACCCCTGAATTCAGAGTATATCAGATTCTATTTCTCCAGCAGATAAACCTTTACTCTCGTCAGGGCATGACATTGTGGGACAAGGATCCCAGGTAGGGGTTGGGGGTGGGGGTGTCTAACTGTTGAAAATACTTACTTTTAAACATCCTTCCTGTTTTTAGTTCCCTGACTCATATTTTCCTTTTGTAATACCTGATGCCTTTAATTCCCAAGTGTTTCTGGGGTTTTGCACAGTAAATTAGCTCCTTTTTTGTATGGCCCACCCCTTTCCCACCCATTTGCTTGTTTGTTTGCTTGCTTGTTTTTGTTTTTGTACAAAAGTATAACATTCAGAGAAGTGTACAGATCTTAAGTGTTCATTTGAGTAATTTATCACAAAGTGAACACGCCCATGTAACTACCACTTAGGTCAATAACTGGAAAATTAGAGAACCCCACAAACCCCTTTTTTGTACTCTCAGAATTATTATCCTCTCCTTCTTCCCAGAGCAAACTCCTATTCTGATTTCTTAACCACAGATTAGTCGTGGCTATTTTTTAACTTGATATACATTATGAATACATATTATTCCTTATAATACTGTTGGTGGTTATTAAATTCTCCAAGCAGTTTTCCTGTGGTAAGTCAATACTGAGGCATAATCTAGTATTAGGAAGTAGGGCTATCATTAAAAAAACTAAATTAGTAAAAATTGAAGAATGTCTGCCTTGAGCATTGTGTTCTTTTAAAGAACTGTGTATATGGGACCAAACTGATATAACAGTACTGTATTTTTATACAAATAATGTACACCTTCTACATTTGTTTGCCAACTGCTTCCTCCCTCTGCGAGGTATTTAAGTGCTGCTATACCAGTTTTTTTTACAGCAAAAATTGGCATAGCGGCGCTTACAAATATACCTCGCGCAGGGAGGCAGAAGCTGGCAAACAAACATAGAAGGTGCACATTATTTGCATAAAAATAGGTAACTCAAAAGGTTAGATAGGAAACTTAGAGGGCAGTGAGTTTATATTCATGGAGAAGGGACAGTTTGGAAAAGGATGAGAGTAGTTGCACAGCTTGAAGAATGTAATCAGTGTCACTGAATAGTACATGTAGAATTGTTGAATTGGTGTATATTCTGTGTGTATTTTCAACAACAAAGATAAAATAAATCATTTAAAAAATTTAGTAAAAATTGAAGTAAAATAATTTAAAGGCTTGATGGTGTGAAATATAAGTAGTTATTGTCTTGCTATATAGACTGAAGAGTTTTTAAATGTTTAGCTTTTTGTCTATAATCTAAATTGCCATTTTAGTTTTAGCTTGCTCTAGAAATTTAAGTGGAAATTGATGAGACAGTTTTTTTTCTTGCCAGGTAAAACAGATTTTTCTCAAGACAGAGACCCCGTGAGGGTCTCAGTAAGCCGAGAACAAAGTTTACTTGGTAGCTCACTAGACCATAATTCATTTGGTCATCATCAACCAGTTACCCAGAAGAATGTCTATGGTGATAACTATGATGAAACAGGTGAGAGATAAATAAATTGAAAATGGAATTGCTGTGCATAAGGATATATACACAAAAGATATTTCTTATAGCATTATTTATACTAGTGAAAAATGGTAGATAACCTCAGTGACTGTTGGTAGGGAAATCATTATGGTGCACCCATACTGTGTAGCTCTATGCAGTTGGTGAAGCAAATGAGAGGAAAAAATCTTTGTTCATGCACAGAAAATTACCTGGGATGATAGTCGCCAAAGTGTTCATACAGATTTACCTTTGTTGGAGAATGGGCTTCACTTCCTATTTTATATGTTCACGTCTTGTAGATTTTTTATAAGAGGCATGTTATTATTTTTGTATTAAAAAAAAAAGTTGAATGAGGGAAGAGGAGCTTATTTGGAAAATAAGTGATTTCATTTTTAATTTGTTTCATTGAATAAATACTAGGAGAATGGACATGAGAGTATGAGTTTTATACAGTTAGTAGCCTCTGATATTTTGAGTTCAAGCCTATTTGTAATGACCCACATTTAATTAAATCCTATTAAAAATTACCTTTAAAAAATTCTATCTGAGGCATTCTAAATGAGCTTCTGTATGTTTATTTTCAAATATTTGGAAAATAGAGAATTACAAAGACAAAGCCTTAAATCACTTAATTGTACTACCCAAAGTTAATTTCTTGCTTTTGAATACATTTGCATATATAGCAAGCTGTTTTATATGTATACTATTGCTTACTGACCCTACAAAGCATAGTTTTAGTACCTGCTTTATTAGTTCTAAGGCATTTCCTAAGTAGTTAATTTTTCTAACCAGATTTCTTTTTATTTAGCTGTAATATAACTACTTGAATAATTGATATATTAGTTGTAGCTGTAATTTAATAGAATGAGAGAGACCTATTGAGGATTTACAGAAAAATTGACTTTAGCCTCTCCTTTTTTATTATAGATTTAAATAAAGGATGTAATTTCTAGTGAGTTATAATTTTTGACATTTTAAAATAAAACTGTTACATCCTTCTTTTAGATTTATCCAGTTGATCTTCAGTTTCCTTTTTATTCCGTCAATGCCACCAGAAACACACTGCAGTTGAACAAAGCTGGGCGTTTTGACTTGTTGCAGTGAGAGAACACACACCACAGGGAACCATGAGGCATCTATCTTAGTAAGAGGGCATTACAGAGGACTTCCTATAGTTTGGGCTTGTATTATGTGATTTTGGGAAGGGTTCAAGCAAGCAGAGCTTTCTTTATTAATGTTGGATGCTGCCAGAAAGCAGGAGTAACTATCATTGAATATCTAAAAGTTCTTATGTGAGAGATGGGAAGAATGGAGTGAGGCTAAGTCGGTACTTGGTAAAGCAGCAGCAGTCACTTATATTAGCCAGGATAGGGTGATGCTTGGTCATTTTTGTGGTTTGGACAGCAGTGTTCATGTTTTTATCTATGTTCAGACATGATTACAAGTGATCTGGTTTTTGTCTCGATCCTTCATGGTCACAGAGTAGCCTTATCTGATATTCATGTTCCGTGAAATTTCTAATGTTTAATAGGAGAACACTAAGATCTTGCTGTGAGTCCCAGGCTAGCTTCTAGCAACACTAACGCCTAGCTGATAATGCCAGGTCAACTCCAGTCTCTCAGGGGCTGCTTTTCTCCTTCTCATTATCCCCAGATTCTTCTTATTTCTATTTTGGAAGAGTCTCGGTTTTGTTACTTCTTCTCCATTTCCTCCCTACCACTTTGTTCAGATCCTCAACACCTCACACCCTGATTTCTTAATAGCTTTTTAGGTGGTGTTGCTAACTCAGGCTTTATACCCTTTGCTTATGTATGAAAGCAGGAAGTGATGCTTTCCTTTTGAAGGAAAGCAGGAAATGGTGCCTTCCTGCATAGCATGGGAGGAGTAATCTGGTTAAGGAGTTGTTCATGATGTTACTTCCCCTACTCAGGAACCTCTTAATGAATCCCTGTTGCCAGTCCTGGTGGTGCGGTGGTAAGAGCTCAGCTGCTAACCAAAGGTCAGCAGTTCAAATCTACCAGCCACTCCTTGGAAACCCTATGGGGCAGTTCTACTCTGTCCTGTAGGGTCACTATGATTCAGAATTGACTTGACGGCAACAGATGGCCAATGAACCATGTCCAAACTGATGATGACATATATCTTCCGTCTACTTCCAGGGACCATCTACTTTCAATGTGGTCTTCAACATCTTAAAATAACTCACTTTTCTCCTTTGTCTAATTTTTACTTTTTCCTTCTTACCACTGCCTAAATGCAACTCTGCTCACTTACCTCTCCTTTGCTGTAGTCCTCTAGGTATATTTATAGATAACAGTAAATTATTGTGATCAACTGAATCAAAAAGCCCCAGATAAACTTCTCATCTCTCATCTAGCTGTCTTCTTCTGGATTAAAAATAACTCACCGTAAAATTTCACCATCTCTTGTTTTCTTTATTTAAAATTTCCGTGAGTATAGACTCTACCAAGGAACAGGTAAATGGCTAAGTTAATTAGGTTACACTATATTTTAATGAAATGGAATAGAGTAAAAAAATTATATTTAAATAGACAAATTGTATTTAGACATAATGTTTGATATTAACTTTGTTTCTACTTTATTATCTATAATATACACAAAATTTTATGGAATTTTTGGAATAAATATATACACACACACACAGATACATATACATATATATTCATGCATGTGTCTATTGAGTTGCCATTTAAGAAACTATTTGTACACAGACATTTAAGAAGCATACTTTTATTGTGCATAGTCATCTATAATAGTGTCAAGGTGATAACGAGGCAGAAATTTTGAGTTTATCTTTGGTGGACCAGTTTCAATTTTATTCTGTGTCATAGCCACAAACTATCGTATGCGTAGGCCAGCATTCTCACAGATGTTGGCTTGGGAATAAGAAAAATCATCTGAGAATACCTGAGTTATTAATAATGAGACAGAGGGTATAATTTTCATATATATCTTAATATGTCAAATATTATTAGCAACAGTAGTTCATAATTATAGTAATACGTGTTCATTGTTAATTTAGAAAACATTAAAAGTTATAAAGAAGTAAAAATTCCTCCTTATCCTACCATTCATAAGCAACCACTAGTTACACCTTTATGTTTTTCTTTATTGTATTTTTTATATGCATTTTTCTCATCTTTGAGATTGTACTATATTTGTGATTGAATATTCTTGCTTTTTCATTTAAAATAATGACAGAAACATTTCTCATCACATCAGCTCTTTTCTGGCTCTGAGACCTAGTATTCAAATATTTTTTAAAGAGTTTTATGCATGGAATAGCAATGAAAACAGTTTTCCAGAAAAAAGAATATATGTTTAATAGTGAATGGTTTTAATGAGTAATAATATGATTTTGTTTTGTTTTTTTTAAATAAGTAAGGCAAACTCTAAGAAGCAACATATGAAAGTAAATTGCAGGAAGTGGTGCCCTCTGGTGCTAAGAATGTAATTGTCCTAACCCAAACCTTTTTTTTTGATTATGTCTTTTTTTTTTTTTTTTCCCATTGTGAACTCTAAAATCCATTTTGCAGTCAAGGTCGAGGAGACTGTTGCTGACTGTCATGCGGCATTAAGTGATGCTGTGGAGGAACGAGAGCGTACATATCTAGAATCAATTGTGAAGCCAGATAATAAGGTTAGTAATGTCTTAATGTATAATACAATTTTTAAAGAGTTACTTGGCTTCATATTCTCTTTAGTTTAGAGAAGTGGTGAAATATTAATTAATGTCTGCATTCTCTGAGATCTGCTCTACTGAAGTGGATCCATGATGAAAATAGCCAAATCTGAGCATCAGAAGACCTTCCAGTCTACCTGATGCATGATCTCTATAGTTCTGGGAAGCAATAGTATAAAATAATTTAGTACAGTATGTCTAGTGTGTGTGTGTGTGTGTGTGTGTGTGTGTGTGAGAGAGAGAGAGAGAGAGAATAAAGGTGATGACAGTGGATAGCTGAGGAATTGCTGATGCATGAATGGGGTTGGGTGTATGTGTGTGTGTGTATAAAAGGCTAATCAGTCTGAGCAATGATGAAAAAGTTTTACTACTGACCTTTGTAACTATGAAGGTTTCTACACTTGACCTGAGCTCAGAATCGATAACTTGTTGATGTTGATGATTTGGGGTTTCACTGTTGAATTTTAAATGTCATTTTTTCTAGTTATTACTTCCTACATCGTGGTCTAATGTTCCCCTTGATTTTTAGGCTGAAACACAAGAGATTTCTCATGAGCCATTATCTTCAATAACTGTTTCTACTGGGAGTCTTTTAAGTTACGAAAACACAGATTTGAGCCTTACGGATCCAGGTAATACTATTCAGAACGTTTGTAAATGAAATACCAGCAACAGTTGAGTTACCATACTGGTGGGAGGAAGCATTGTTTCTTTAAATCTCGAAAGTAAATTACACATGCCTGATAGAATATTGGGCATTATGATATTCTAAGCACGACTGGAAGTCACGGGCCTGCAAACCCACAGGAATTCTCTGTGGATCCCTAACAACACTTTGAGAAGTATTCACTCTGTCACATTTTCCCATTGAGTGGAAATCTATCTGAGCAAGTTTCTTGGTTGCACTGATCCCGTAGCATATTGCCATGCCTGTCTACCAAAGTATGTCTCTAACGAAGTACCCAGCCATGGCAGTGAAATACTTTCACTCAACTCAATTTTCAGAGTCATTTGCTGAGCAGGTGGACAGTAGACAACAAGAATCCACCGCTGGCAAGGAAGAGGAAACAGATCTTTTAAGTTCTGCTGTTCCTCCAATACAAGCTACTTATCAAAGGCAGAGCTCTTCTGACATTCACAAATCTCCATTGCTTTTGGTAGAAGAATTAACATCTGGTCAAATGCATATTCAGCAGATCATAGACAAGTACATAAATGAAGCAAATTTGATGCCTGGAAAAACAAATTTTATGGGTAAGTATAAAAAATATTTTTTATATAAACTGTTCAACTTTTAACTTTCATCCTTTTTAGGTTTAAATAATGATTGTTTGAATTTCATGTTTTTATGGCCTGCTGCAGCACAGTTATACTACAGAAAACAGTGAGAGCATTAAATGTGAAAGGGGATCTGGAACCAACTAGACTGACTAGAGAACATATAGAAGAGATTAATTAGCAAATTTTCCTTTCCCATTGCAGACCTAGTTATAACTGATGAGGCAATGCTGCCAGAATTAAATATAAGAGCTCAGAAATCAGACACACCTGGATTCCAGTCCTACTTTGACTGTTTACTAGCTTTGAGACAAGGGGCAACTTGCTTACTCTGTAAAAGATGGATGTTGGAGATAATGTACATAAAACACAGTGCTTGGCCCATAGTGACACTTATTTAAAAAATGATTGATCCTGAAGTGAGCTAAGTGAGAACAGCAAAGCATATATCGAAGCAATGGTCAGATTTGACCTCTTACTCCTAGTTAACCTCACAAGACTTTTTGGGGCTGGTAGAAATGGAAATTTGTTTGTCAAAGGTTTCGGTAACTAAGAGTACCCACATTTTTTTATACCATGATAGGACTTAATTTGAAATCATCTGCTAGTCATCAAAATTAGAAGTAATTTTGTTGAATTGGAGTTATCTGAAAAGCTTTTATGAATACATACTTAATACTAATTTTCAAGACTTTATTTTAAATTTTAAAATTAATCTTTTTTTCCTCAAAGTTCCATCAGTTGACCTTGACTTGTCAGAATTGGAACAAACTTTTCCAAATTTGCATCGTCAGCTCTTTAAACCCTTAGAACCACATCCAGACTTTGATTTGTTATCCTCATTTTCTGGGATTTCTCAAGACAGCAGAGACTTTTACAAGGTATGTTAAAGTAGATTCTCCATTGCAATGAATTTCCAAGAATAGTTTTAAGTGTTTTCTTCTATTAGAACTATGGTTCTGCTCCTAAAAATCAAACACTTATACTCATCAAAAGACTTCACCAAGAGGCAAAAGACAACCTACAGACTGGGAAAAAATTTTTCGCTACGACAAATCCAGTCAGTGTCTAATCTCTAAAATCTACAAGATACTGCAAAACCTCAACAAGAAAAAGACAAATAACCCAGTTAAAATATGGGCAAAGGATATGAATGGGCACTTCACCAAAGAAGACATTCAGGCAGCTAACAGACACATGAAGAAATGCTTATGATCATTAGCCATTAGAGAAATGCAAATCAAAACTACAATGAGATACCATCTCACCCCAACAAGGCTAGCATTAATCCAAAAAACACAAAATAGTAAATGCTGGAGAGGTTGTGGAGAGACTGGAACACTTATACACTTGGTAGGAATGTAAAATGGTACAACCACTTTGGAAATCAATTTGGCGCTTCCTTAAAATCTAGAAATAGACATACCATACAATCCAGCAATCCCGCTCCTTGGAATCTATCCTAGAGAAATAAGAGCCATCACACAAATAGATATATGTACACCCATGTTCACTGAAGCACTGTTCACAATAGCAAAAAGATGGAAATAGCCTAGGTGCCCATCAACAGATGAATGGATAAACAAATTATGGTATATTCACACAATGGAATACTACACAACGATAAAGAATAACGATGAAGCCAGGAAACATCGTATAACATGGAGGAATCTGGAGGGCATTATGCTGAGTGAATTTAGTCAGTCACAGAAGGACAAATATTGTATAAGACCACTATTATAAGAACTCAGAAGGTTTAAACACAGACTAAAACATTCTTTGATGGTTATGAGGGTGGGGAGGGAGGTAGAGGGGTATTCACTAACTAGATAGTAGACAAGAATTACCTTAGGTAAAGAGAAGGACAACACACACTACAGGGGAAGTCAACACAACTGGACTAAACCAAAGCTAAGAAGTTGCCTGAATACAATCAAACACTTCAAGGGACAGAGTAGCAGGGGTGGGGATCTGGGGACCATCCTTTCAGGGAACATCTAGGTCAATTGGCATAACAAAGTTTATTAAGAAAATGTTCTGCATCCTACTTTGGTGAGTGGCGTCTGGGGTCTTAAAAGCTTGCAAGTGGCCATCTAAGATGCATCAATTGGTCCCAACCACCTGGAGTAAAGGAGAATGAAGAACACCAAAGACACAAGGAAAGTATTAGCCCAAGAGACAGAAAGGGCCACATAAACCAGAGACTTCATCAGCCTGAGACCAGAACTAGATGGTGCCTGGCTACCACCAATGACTGCCCTGACAGGGAACGCAACAGAGAGTCCCTGATGGGAGCAGGAGAAAGGTGGGGTGCAGAACTCAAATTCTAGTCAAAAGACCAGAGTTAATGGTCTGACTGAGACTGGAGGAACCCTGAAAGCATGGCTCCCAGACTCTCCATCAGTCCAGAACTAAAACAATTCCTCAGGCCAACTCTTCAGACAAAGATTGGACTGGACTGTGGGACATAAAATGATACTCGTGAAGAGTGTGCTTCTTAGTTCAAGTAGGTACATGAGACTAAATGGGCAGCTTCTGTCCGTAGGTGAAATGAGAAGGCAGAGAGGGTTAGGAGCTGTTTGAATGGACATGGGAAATCAGGAGTGGAAAGGAGGATTGTGCTGTTACAGTATAGGGAGAGCAATTAGGGTCACCTAACAATGTATGTATACATTTTTGTATGAGAAACTAAATTGAAATGTCAACTTGCACTTAAACTACAACAGTAAACAAAAAAAATAAAAATAAAAAGCACAAAAAGGAATATGCATCCAGGATAAGCAGTATTCCTATTACAATTTTAGTATTAGTTAATTATTTTATATCGAAGAAAAAAAATCTGTGCTACCAAGAAATTACAATACTCTACCTTCTTGTATATTAACATATTTAGGATTAAAATTAATAATATGTTTGGTTAATTTAAAAAAAAAGAACTGAGGTTCTTAATCTTGGCTGCCTATTAGAATCATGTGGTAAGCTTTTTAAAATTCCAATGCCCAGACTACCCCCAGACCAATTAAAGCAGAATCTCTGGGAGTGCTCCAGCATCCTTTTTTTTTTTTAACCTCCTCATGTGATTCTAATGAGAAACCAAAGTGGACGACAGCTTGCTTAGAATTTTGTCCTGTCAGCCTTATTTTGTTTTTTTGTTTGCTTGTTTTCTTTAATGGAATTCTGCCTTGAACTGTTCAGAAAATAATGATTTTGCAAAATTTAAAGTCTCTTCCTACACAGTGAGGGGAAACCCTGGTGGTGTAGTGGTTAAGTGCTACAGCTGCTAACCAAAAGGTCAGCAGTTTGAATCCACTAGGTGCTCCTTGGAAACTCTACGGGGCAGTTCTACTGTGTCCTATAGGGTCGCTACGAGTCAGAATTGACTCGACAGCAACGGGTTTTACGGGTACACAGTAAAAGAGCTGAGATTCAAGCCTGAGTCTTTGTTTCCACAGCCTGACATCCCAGGCTACTCTATACATAGTTCCTGTTTATCAGAAAATGATTTCATGTTCTCAACCTACTGGTTTTGGTAAATTCACAGTTTGTTTTCTAAGTAATATTTCCCTAAATGGTCTCTTTCATATTGACTGGAAAGGAAGAATTGGGTTTGAATAAGAAAATTGTTACTGTGATAGTAAGGTGGTAACTGAGGAAAAACAGTATCAAAGAAGCAGTGATTATTGTTGATTCAGCTAATAATAATATATACCTTAATATTTCAGCCTTTCTCTGTTGTTTTCTGCTAGGGCTCAGAGTCTTCGTCTGAAAGCCAACATGCTACTGGATCATCTAAAAGCACAGTTTCTTTTTCAACACCAAGGAACCTGCATTTTTCTCTTAACGTGAGTCTGGACCCGCAGCTTGACCCTAACTCGGCGCATGTTGCAGCTCAGAGTTGTGTGACAGAAAATGTTATTGAGGGTATGTATGACCAAGTTAGAAAAAGTTAAATAAAACCCAACACATTTTTTTCATGATTTACATCGATTTTTCTTGGAAATTGTACTTGGCAGCTCTTAGTTTGTTTCCACCCCTATCTTCTGCCCCTGGTGTAACAAGCTATGTTTCTTTAATTACATACTTATGTATTTAAATAACAGAAGTAACATATGCCCAGTCTACAGCTTTTACAACAGTGAAATAAAAAGCAAAAGTGCTGCCTCTTGCTCTTCAATTTCCCTACCGCAGTAGAGGTAATCAGTTAACAACTTAAGTATCCTTCTAGAACTTTTTGTACAAACATATGTATAGATGTGAGATACACATGCACTTTTTATTCTAAATCCTTCTATTGTAAAATCATTGTTCAGTTCTGTTACAGGAGAAAAAAGGTTATCACAGTATCTAATGGCCAAATTGTCTTTATTAAATATATTAGGAGAAACTATATGGTATGAAATATATGGTATAGAATTGTTTGAAAATCACTGTGACTGTCCTTCAGCTTTCTGTTCATTTTTATATACATCAACTTTCACTCCTAAAATTATAGGGAGTAACCTGACTGTAAACATTTTAATATATAGGTCTTAAGATCTATTTATTAATTGCAATTTACTCAGAAACTATTAGAGACTGTATCAGTATCCATTATAACATACAACAATGATTAACTGACTTCTTAAACTCCTTAATGCAGGATCTGAACAGTCTTTTCAACAGCTTCTGCCAGAATTTTCTTCACAGGAGGGGAGCCAGCATGTGGATCTACCAAGTATTTTTAGCATTGAAGAAAGAGATTCTTCTCAAGGCTTGGAAAATCAGAACTACCCCTCTGAAGAAGTATTACAAATTAAGAAAGAAGGTGTTCCTTTCCCAGTCTCTCTAGAAAATTTGCTAAGTTCATCTGATGAAGTTAATGTATTTAATCAGTTAAATGTACAGCATAACACTCCATGTGGTTCTACCTCTAGTGAGTGCTCAATAAAAGACCAACCAGAAGACAGAAAAAGAAGACTGTCCTTTAAAGAACTGTCTGAAAGACGGCTTGGCGTAATGTTAGACGATCAAGGTCTCACTGAAGATGATAAAAATGAAGCTGGTGGGGTTTTAGACATAAGACCACACGCAGAGGAAATTGACTCTCAGTTACACGTAAGAACAGTGGAGATGGGAACTTCACTTCACACACCCCATTCGTTAACTATTCGGAATGAAAAATATTTTGAGAATTCAACTAAAAGGGAAACTCCGGAAATCTTAAAAAATCTATCTCAATCAGCACAATCAGAGCTCTTTTTAAGTTCTGGAACATTTTCAGTACAGAACTGTATTCCAGTCTGGGTAAGTGAAATCTATGTTGTACTGATAGCATTTAAGTTCATTTTAGGAAAGACTATTTTGAAGCACAGTTCAGGAAAAGCAACAAAGCTTAATTTCCATTGAGACTTTTGAAGCTCATGGTCATTAGCAATCTCTAATGAAATGAAAACTCCAAATGAAAGCTGACCTCTAAGAGAATTTTACAGAAGACTTTCCCTTCCAATTCAGATACCCTTTCCAGCTTCCCAGAGAAATGATGGCTTGGCCTGTGCTTCATTCAACACTTTCCAGGTTGAACCTCATGGCACTACATTATTGAAATAGGCATTTAGAGCAGTGCCATGAGGTTGGCTGCTAACCAAAAGGTTGGAGGTTTAAGCCCACCCAGAGGCACCTTGGAAGAAAGTCTTGGTGATCTACTTCCAAAAAATCAGCCCCTGAAAACCCTGCAGAGCACAGTTCTACTCTGACACACAAGGGTTTGCCATGAGTCTGAAATGACTTGATGGCAACTGGTTTTTTGTTTTTTTTTTTCCCTTAAGAGTGGATATTGTAAAGGTAACCAATTAGGTTAAAATTCACAGCTTGGTGGGGTTGGTTATGCTTATTGTTGATTAAATATTCCTCTTTACAAAAATAAAATTTTCCCGGTAAAATCCCAAACATGGAACATAGTTCTTGTTTTGCATGATTATCTTACCTAACAGCCAAGTTCTATTTTCACATTTTGAATTTTTAGAGACTTATTTTCTGACATGGTTTCCTTTTTAATGTTATTGCACAGGAGACAGAGTCTGGCCATGGTATAATGGAAGAGCCAGAACTTACTTTAGTAAGCACCAGTGATATCAGTATTGCTGAAACAGATTTCGAAAACTTAACTCTAGAAGAAAGGAGCGAGACTGAGGCAAAAAGCTGTTTTCAGGTAAATTTATATACCTCATTTATTCAGCAACCTAGAGCCAAGAATTAGGAAACAGAAAAGGACACTGGGTTTTTAAAATTTCTTTTCCACTTTTCTGCCCCAATAACCTCTGGAAAGCATTATTTTGTACCACAGACTAGTCCTATACGTTTATAGTGTTATAGGTATTAGCAGGCATTGATGAAGACTTGGGCTGGCACTCATGCCTGGCATTCTCCAAACTTTGTTCCAAAGAATCAGATAAAAGTTATGAGAGGCAGAAGACTCTAGAAGATAGGTAAGGAATTCCAGAGTTGACCTGACATAGATACCATGTTTGTAAAAATAATGTGCTGTCACTTTGGAAGTGTATCTTGAACTTGAATGTATTTCAAAGAGGAAGACAGTGATTTTCAACATTATCTGCACTTTCTTTGCACTTCATTCCACTCCACTATTTGATTCCTGCCTGGTTGGTACTCAGTGATTTGAAATGGTTTGTTCTGGTTCGAATCCCTGCTGAGAATTTGCATTTCTAACAAGTTCCAAGGCAATGCAAATACTGCTGGTTAGGGACCAATTCTGAGAACCACTAGTAAAGCAGTGATTATTTTATACAAGTATCACCTGGGGATCTTGTTAAAATGTAGATTGATTCAGTATATCTAGAGTGGAAATCCAAATTCTCAGCAGGGACTGAAACCAGAACGAACACCTTTTAATTCTCAGAAGGGAATTCTGGCTTGGATTTAATTATTTAGTTAGGACTCTGGTTAGTAGACAAAGAATATATTATAAAAAATTGTAACTGAAACTTAGAGAAAATACTTAAGACATCCCCACCTGCTGGTTGGTACAGGAGAGGAACACTATGAGTATCATGTCTTTTTACATGTGAAGAAAGAGGCACAAAGTAGTACATTTTTAATACAAGCAGTCTTTTCCTAGAGTTTATGCTCACTTGCAAAACTTGCTTATGGCCGAATTAAATTTACAGTAGTTCCTGATGCTTACTTAAAAGGGAATTCTAATTCTTACCAGCCTAAGATATTGATAACTACCACAGAAGTGAAGCCATAACCCATCAACTGGTAAACTCCTATACTGACAAGGGTAGTAACAAGGCAGTAGACAAGCAATGAATACGATGGGGTAGTAGAGTAACATCTGAACAGGAATAATTAATGCTATGATTCAGTAATCCTAAAGCTGTTGATGACAGGCCAAAAGGTATGAGAACACAAAGTAGTGTATGAAAATGGGAACCAGTTTCTCGTAGTGCCAGTGAATTGAATGTACACCTAAATGTATTTATCTACATTCTCTCCCACTGAGAACTTCAGAGCATGCTCAGATCTTGTGTGAGTTCATAAAGTACCACCAGCCATACCAAGTGGAAAGAGAAACCCATCTCCACTATATAGTCTTGACTTCTTCACACAAAACAGTCCTCATTTTGGTAGTTGTATTGTTTATATATTGGGGCAAATAAATCGTTCAATGAAAAATTCAATGTGCTATTTTGAAACAATTACAAAAAATAGTCTAGAGAGCAGAGACTGAAGTCATCTGCAGTCAGAATCAAGGAAAGCTTTTGGCTTCTTCCAAAAAAAGCAGGCTTTGGGGTACTGTAACAGGTATTGAGGTAGAACACCAAGAAAAAAGTATGCATGTATAACAGCATTTTAAGTGGTAAACTCGCCTATGACTTTCTTCTAATTAGGTGAGTGAATTTCTGCCTCTTGTACCAGAAACAGAAACATCAGCTTGTCCATCTGTATCAGAGCATTCTGGGGAGGAGTTAGTAACACAGCCTGCAGGTATGCCTTGAACATGTATTGGTGGGGGGTGGGGGGGTGTCAGTGGGAACTCTACCTGCCTCTTTTGTGTAGGAAGAAGTAGGAACCCCACCATCTTGCAAGATAAAGTGAGGTGAAACATTTGGCACAGTTCCAAGTATTTTTTTTTTTTTTAACAACAAACAGAAACCCTTCCAAAGTTCATAGCTATACCAGAGACAGCTATACGGGAGAGCTTACAAGAAGCATTTTTAAAAAGAAAAAAAACATTTATTGAGAGATCCACTCAGAGGCAGAAAGAAGTAAGGAACAGAGTTCACGTCACTGAAAATTCTCAAGTCAAAGCAGCTGAGAAACCTACAGGTATGTTCCCTCACATCCACTCTGGCCTGGAGTCAGGTTGCATGTTGGTTAAGAGTTGTATGTCAGATCACTTGTTCTTCTCTTAAAGGCTCTTCTGTGAGTCACCTAAAAGGTGTGAGTAAAGTTAGAGTGTCTCTCCCTGAAGACAGAAGAACTGCACAAGCCCTCATGTGCCAAAGGGCTCTAAGGTAGGTAGCCTTATATGAGTGGCTTTATTGATTTCTGATGTAATTCTGTCTTAATCCTGTATTAATTTGTTACAGATCATATAATCAATTAGCTGAAGTTAAACAGCAAAAGGAAGAGAAAGCAAGAAAAGCAGCTTATGCCCAAAACAGAGCAAGGGCTAAAGAATTTCATCAGGTGGGTTCAGTCCCCTCCCCTCCAGTTTTTTCTAAGGTAGACCATAACTGCAAATTCTAATTGAGTTTTATTCCCTCCACAGAAAACACTAGAGAAACTTCGAGCCAAAACTACAGGCTGACTTTGTTTTTTATTATGTGTAACATTAGGCAAAAATTATTTAATGTTAATAAATTAATGACTTTTACATATGTCTTTTTTTCTGCTGCCCATCAATCGAAGTCACCTTAGTTCCTCCAAAGCTTGATTCATCTTCGGGATAGCCCTAAAAAACAAATCAGCCATTGGTTAAACTCTGATCTACTTATTTCCCCACATCATCAATCATGGATTATCAGTAGTATCATCCTGTCTCTCCTCAGGAAAAAACAGCCCACTTATTGAGTGACTGTGGCATTCATTCTGTGGAGAACTTTAATCTTAGGTCACAGCGTAAAGAGCTCCTGGTCTCGCAGTTCCACAAGCCCTCTTTGAAATGACCTGTCTTTTCTAATGCATACATACCTTTTTAGAAGAACCTGTACTAGTCCACTGCTGTTGTCAATATAAAGTTAGATTTCCAGAGATCACTGCACAGTAACCAGAAGTTTCACTTGGATTGTCTGTGCTGTCCAAGCCACTTTCCACACCAGATCTCAGACTTGACGCACAAAAAAAGAAAATTCTGAGTATAGATGATAAAGGAAAATGTGTGGCATAAATTACATTTCTATCGATGGTGATCTAGGCAATGGAAATAAAACAAGGAAGGGTATAAAATGTTCCCAATCGGTTGAATGCTAGCAAGGTAGCAAAAGAGAAAACCTAGTGGGAAGTTTTTTTATGGTCAAGTCCACAGCAAATCAGAAACTGCATTCTAAAAGCCTTGGTAATGACCATTGTATAGTGTATAGCAAATAATTTGGTGTGATAAGGTAAAAACAATTACCTGTCACAATTTTCTTTTAGTTGGGCTGCTTTATTTCCAATTAAATACAGATATACTTCAAAAATTCTCACCTATAAAAAATGTTAAATTCATATTAAGTTCCAAAGCAAACAGAAACCCAGTGCAAAATTAGTATGTACTGAAAATTATTTAAAACTCTTAAACGTTAATTTTTATCTACTCAATCCAGCTGATTCCAAGTAATACTCTGGAAACGAATAATTCATACTAAATATATGAAACAACTAAGCAATTAAGAGGCTGAATGATCCCACTTCCATTTACATCTGAATCAATTTGTAACGCTCTCTCATCATTACTCAAAGGTATTTTGAAACATGCAGGTTTAAGGTACATTATACTTGAGAGCTTTTATGAGATTTTAAAATATAGCATATTATCTAATGTGAAAGGATGTTCAGAAAGGCTATTTTCATTCAGCCCAGTCAGAGCAGTTGAACATTTTGCCCATCATCACAACATCATACATAACTGATAAAAGGAGTATAAACACATGGTGGCATTTTAACATCTATTCTTTTTCCTCCTTACCTATTAAGTACTGCTAATAAACCACTAGATTTGACTGCTATAAGGATTTTTAGGTTAATAAATTCAAGAACTGTGATGCTTAAATACTTCTGTAAAGGAGAAGCTAAGATGTGTCTTGCATTGCCTTTTTGAGGGAATAAATTCATACCTAGAATTTCTTCAAACTATTCATTCACTTCAGGGCCCTAGAAACAGAAAGTACGTCAATTATTTTGGAAAAAAAATCTAAAAAGTATTAGTCTTCAGTGCATTTCTATTTGTTACATCTAATTTTCATTCATTACGTGAGCAAAGTGTTACAGGTCTCATTGTCACCACTGCAGCTGGTTCACTGTGATGGAAGCAAAACCTGTCTTAATTTAGCCACATTGACAATTTCTGGACACCATGGTCAACTGTGCCCATTTTCACATAGAATGAGGCTACATAAAAATAGATCCTGAAGCTTATATATTACACCACGCTTCTAAATATATATATGGATGCTTTGTTGCTGACAATGCTATCAATAGGTGTAACTGCTAATAGCAACAGAAACACAAAGCCTTACGTTTTAGAGTCCATGTACGTAGATTCTGCCTTACTTTTAATTTCAAACACCCTAGAAAAATAAAATAATTAGTTCCTAAATGAAGATTATAACTAACTGGGCAGCATTTAACAAACTATATAAACTGTATCAATAGAAATACCAGGTTTAACATGCACAAAGCCAAGAAAACCAACGATGCCAGATACTGAATTTCTATCGCACTGTCCTTTGAACATCCCAGCAGGAATAAACTGCTGAATGCAGATACCATGCAGTGCAATTATGATTCAATTATAACCCACTTACTTCTCAGAGTCTGCAGTGCTACTCATCTCAGAAATAAGCTTACTTTCACACATCTCTTAAAAATCCAAAGTTCCTCTAACAGGTACAATTTCATCTTTGTTCCTAATTATTCCAAAAGGAGACATAAGCTGCATTTGAACTATCAACCTCGTCACTAGTCACCTTTATCCTGTCTCTTTCTATATTTAACTTACATAGCAATTAACTAAAGTCAAATCACTAAAAGAATACACTGACAATGTCAATTCATTGTTGCTCAAATGTGCTATTAAGCAGAACTACTTTAAAACAATTCACTATCCCTAACTAAATCAACATATCCAAGTATATATGGTATTAGGAGAAAACATGAAGTTGCAACTTGAAAAAAAAAAGGTGCAAAAGAATTTCATTTGCTAACTCAATACAGACTCATACTTCAGCATTTTATAGCCTCAACATGCAACCTCCTGTTTACTTCATTCTACACATACAAATACTGTGGCCAATATTTTTGCCAACATTTTTTATTATTTCTGTATTTTCCCTCTAAAATAATTCCTAGTTATAATTGTAATTGCATGCATGTTTTACTCAGAATTTATTTTTTCAGGAATGCTGAATCAACCCCTGATAAATTTCCAAATAGATTAAAATATTCCACTTACCTCTATCATGAATGAGTTGAACGAAATCCTGTTCACTCCTACGGAGATAGTATCAAATGTAAAATTTAAAACACCTTAAATGTTTTCAAATTCCTATGAAAACTAAAGCCTGAACATAAGTTTAGTATCCAGCCAGCTCAGTCAGAATGCAGTTTTAGTTCATGTCTGTATCATTCAGCAGTTGAACAGTTAAATTCATCACGTGAACTTTAACAGTACACCAAAAGATTACACTTCTCACCAGTTAAAACTTACGTACCTAAAGTAAATCACCCAAGAAAAGTGCAGACTGGCAGGATATGCCAATACCTAAGGTAAAAAAAATAACTATTAGAGATCTTTCATACTTTCAGCAACTTTGTCTTGTAGTTCCTTCCCACAGATCCAACAAATAGTTCTGTGAGTAAAGCAAAACCACACAGTTACTCTATGAGGCGTTTCCAACGATGTGGGTCTATAGGAAAAGCCCCATCGGGATAGACCTCAACCACTTATTTATAAACCATCTCCAAAGAAAAACCGTTTGGCTCTGCACTAGCCTGATCCTCCCATTAAAATAATCACAAGGAAGAACTCAATTCTCACAGATCACAAGAGTTACTAAATCAAAATGAAACTACAAATGTACCAGAGTAGCTGCTGTAGATGAACCACAGGAAAAGTATCAATTGAATTCTAGATTCTTACGAACTTATACTGCAATACAGGGTATGTTCTGCCTTTGAGATTTCCAAAGACTGCAGAAAATTTTTACTTTAACTGCATTCTTGCCTCACAAGTTCTATATAAAATGTTTTCTCCTTAGTTATTTGACCCTATTAATATCTTTACACTTACGTTCTTATGACTTGGAAATCACTGTCAAAAAGGATAAAAGAAGTTAGGTGATTATGGGGCAATGACCCTTTTGACCTTAATTTTTGCAACTTAGTGGATGCATTTCACTAATTGAGCCCAAAGGTGGTCTCACAAGTAACTAAATGACAACAGGGCATAAAAGCCCTAGAACATGGAAGGCTCAGAAGGAGCTTCTAGATTGGAGAGTGAACGTGGGCGCTTCAGAGAACTTCGAAGCTCTGCGCTAGGACCCCTCCCAGACCTCACCCTTCTATCTTTTCTGGTTATAAGAGACAACTAAATACTCTGTGAATTCTATGAGTCACTCCAGGTAATTATTGAGCCCATAGGACAGTGGGAGCCAGCAGCCAGTCATGGGGCTGGGGACCGCTATACTTATGGATGGTACCCTGAGGGGTAAAGAAAAACCCCAAATTTGGGGTCCAGCTGAAGTTGAGGGGGTCATGTGGACTGCTGAGGTGGTAGCCAGAATCCACAGACCTAGGGGTGAGTGGCTGGGGATGACAGTGCCACGTGGAGCTGCTCACAATGCAGATGGAGAAGTGGGAAGGTGAGGACTAAATCTTTCCAGGTAGGAAGTGGGATTCATGCTGATCCTTACCAGGCAGGATTTGCAACCATTTCTCACATTATACTAAATCTTCTACTTAAAGGTTCTGATTCTTGTTATAGCTCCTATCTCACAAAAACATGTGGCCTAACTTACACCTTTAAAGACCCTTTTCTTTTCTTTAGAGCTAACGTGTAAAATCAAGATGGTATTTTATTATGAAATGTTATGTTACTGGTCGCTTCCTGAAGTCAATTATCATATAGAAATTAAAGGAAACCACAAAGGTGTTCTAGTAAAATTAATCCAGTGTGCATTTAAATTGCCTGCCATGTATTACATCTAGACAAAGCTGATCAAAAAGAACTCATACCTAAAGCATTAGACATACCTGAAACTTCAGACATCAGGCACTCGAGATAAAAGCCTAAAAAAGAGGCAATCTTAATGTTTCACTTCAAAATTAAAATTAGAATACTAAATCATTATAGGTAAAATATCAATTACGAGCTATTCCTTTTTAATGAATTCTACAGTGCTGGAATCATAATGATTCATAATACCCACATCAACTTTAAACGCCTGGTGCAAATGGTTAACACACTCCCTGATTTTAGTTTACTCAGATGCGACTCAGAAGGCCTGGCAATGTGTCAAAAATCAGACATTAAAAACATTATGGCACCCAGTTCCACTGACACATGGGGGTTTACCATGAGTTGGAATGAACTCGATGGCAACTGGTTTAACTATGCATGTCCCTTCTAATCTGTATCAAAACTCATACTGAACAATGAGTTCTGGGTTGCAAAAGAGGATTTATTTTTGCACCTGTCTATGAGTCTTTGTCCACAAATTAAACAAACACAAACACAAGTGCTATCATAAAAATGCAGGCTGTATGACTTTGCAGGAATCCAGCGATAACCAAATTAAAAGGGTGAAGTAGTATACCCAAACCCATGCCACTGAGTCAAATTCCAACTCATATCAACCCCATAATTAGAGTAGAACTGCCCCACAGTTTACAAGGCTGCAAATCTTTACAGAAGCAAGAAGCAGACTGCTACACTTTTCTCCTGCAGGGCAGCTGGTGGGTTTGAACTATTTTGTTAGCAGCTGAACCACTATACCACCAGGGATTCTTTACAGTAGTATAGGTTGCTGGAGATTATAAATATTAAAAGCACTCTGGGTATTTATTATTTATTTGGGTACTAAGTGTTTGGTACTCAAAGTCATTTGTATGAATAATAGAGTAAGGAGTGTGTGGCTGGTTGTCACTCATTAGCAATTATTTTATCTATGATTCCCCCCGCCCCGGATTGACTAAGATATCTGAACCTCAATGGTTCCATGCTGAAATAATGCCAGAAATGAACAATCATCAACAAACATACCTAGGCCTTGTTTATTTCCAGCAGGTGGTTTCTCCCGTGAAAGCCACAGATGTCCCGAGATATCATTTCACTGAAGCTTTTAAATCAGTTTTTTCCTAATAATTACAGACTTCTTTTAAGAATTTCTTCATCACCATGTTGGCATATTTGTCCACATTTATCATTTTTTTCCCCTATGAAAAGCTGCTTCTTCCTGATGTTCACCTTGTTTGACACTGATATTCCTGTCTCCATTTGAGGTCATTCTGTCCTTTTTGTCCAATGTCTCTGGCCTTTGAAGCTTACTTTCTAAACAATGCAGTGTCTTCACCATTTTCTTCATCTAAATTTACCTTCCTCTTCTTTGGTAATTCACAACTTATTATGAAATAATTATCCTCCTGCAAAAAAAATTAAAACAATAAAACTTGACTGCTTTAGTAATTACACATAATGGTGATAAAAACCAACCAAACCCACTGCCACTGAGCTGATTCCGACTCACAGAGACCCTGTAGGACAGAGTAGCACTGCCTCATGGGATTCCCAAGGAGCGGCCAAAAGCTCTTAACCTCTGCAACCCCAGGGCAGTGATAGATTACTTCGAATACCTTGAGACTGAGTCTAGTTGTTCGAGATTCAAATTAATTCCTGCAAATCATGACATTTTCTTTGGAAAATTGAATGTTCTCATCACTATCCAAAATATTTTTGCAGTTCCAGCAACTAATTACTAAACCTTTTAAAAATCAACCTTAGCCTCCCAAAACAGAACAGGATAAAAATACAAATCACTTACCACCAATCTGATATCACATTCATCACTATGTTCAAGATGAGTTGTATCCTCAGCCCTGTAACGTTAAAATGTACTCAGGTAATGACAAACTCTTATCACTTAATTGGTTGTATATTCTGATGTACTGCTGGATGCACAGATGTGCTATACTGTAACTGGCCACTGGCTATCTCTCTGGCTGATAATGTACATAATAGCTACTAATGACGTGAAGTATTTGCTTTAGGGGGAGATGACCGCCCTCTGACAAAATCCGAAACTCTAGTGGGGTAAAGGAAGAGCAGCTATTCTCTGGAGTCAGTAAATCTAGAATAGAACAGCCTGAACAGGGGTAATAAATGATGTCCATTGCCTGGAGGGGGCTTTTCATTTCTATTACCCTCCCTTTACCTTGTATTACCTTCCCCTACCTATTCTCTGTATATGCTATTTGGCACACAGACATGGCTGTCCAACTGGTATTTAATCCCGGGAGAGGAACTTATGCATTCTCCATCTAAGAGATAAACTGGGGTGTGCTTGGATGTGGACTGGAGACTAACTTCAGAGAACCTAAACTGATGATGATGTATCCTGGTCTACTCATCCCTGTCCTGTTTATTCTATAAGTAATAAACACACCATTACAAGTGTTGATCACACTATTACAAGTGTCTGGTCTGTGCTCTGCTCTAAATGGTCTTTCACTGAGAACTTGACACAATCCATGTACAAATGAAACAGCTGTACCAGTCAGAATATATTCTCTATGGTATTCTGCATAACATTCCAAAGTGTCTTTTTTTGCCAAAGTCATAATAGCTTAACTGTAATAATCCAAACAGCCTACTGT